CAAAAATCCCTACCAAACAACAATTCACTTTTAACCTAAAAGTTACCAGCCAAAAAGTAAATCCTTTACTTAAATTTACCATCACTAAGTCTTACATTGTTACACATTAAACAAGTTCTTTTGTCTTGACGACTGTAGGAAACCTATTTAATGTGGCTCTTTGTATTTCAGCAGATCATTGGATATAAACTAAAAAAAAGTGGTTCAGCATCACACTTGCTTTTTACACAAAAATAAATTTAATTTAATCTTTCTACAAGTCCTCTGAGATAAGACAGTGTTACAGAAAGTGAGTGCTGCGACACACTGTGGATTTCTACGCACACCGCACCCAGTAACTTATGTAGTATTTTAAAAGCAGGATAAAAGATAAAGCACTTTAACAAGAAACTATAAATGTTCAAAACTTTCTATCTGAGCGCATATCAGTTTTACTGCTTACTCTGGTTGATTAGAGATATGTCAGTGTTAGAGTACTGCCCTCATGTGGACCCTGAACAACACTGACATGCAGCAAATCTGAAGTTTTAACTGTGTTTGAAATATAAGTACAACAATCAGAAGAAAAGCTAGTTTTTGTTGATCTTTGGTGCTAGTGGTATTAGTGTTATGATTCTGCAGAAATGACTATACCCTCCATAATACACACACACAGAGCAGAGCCTAGAGCTGTGCTGCTCTTTCTTTACTAAATATTAAAATTACCACCTATCAAATAGGCCTGTCGCGAGAAACAATAAATCAATTAGTCGCATGATAAATTAAAAATGTCAACCTCCTTTTCATTTATCGGCTTTATCGTTTCTTTGTCTCTCTCTTTCTGAAGACACTGGATGACAAAAGGCTCAACTCGGGTGCTCTTCACTGACCCCTACCTTTCTGTTTTCTCTTTAAAATCTGTTTTAACCATCCAAAATTGCGTTTTTGGGGGGTTAAAAGCAGCTAAGCTGAGAAGTTAAGCTACGAGCTAAGCTAACAGACCGACCTCAGGGAAAAACCTCCGTCTTGTCAAAGTTCCAAAATTCGTGGTTGAAACCCGTGCGTTTGTCTAAAAGGTAGTTTATTTCTGCAAAAAGAAGCTGAGAACTTGTTTACTGATTTTCAATTAAAAGCTTTGTGTGAAAAATGCTATGCTAAAGAGCTCAAACCACACCGAGCGTCCGTCGTTTTGAGAACGAAATAAAAGGAGAGACAGCCCATGTCACGTCAAGAGGCCTCTCTCTCATTTTTCTTAAAGAGACACGCTGCTTGCTCCCTCACTATCCATCTTTCGGTTCAAACTGTCTTATACTGCCATCTGGTGATGAGGTACTACACATAAACGTAACCAAAATTTCTTCTTAACTTTGACAATAACGACTAATTATTGTCAAACGTCAAACAATATTATCGTTTATCGCAATAATTTCTGAGACAATTAGTCGCCCAGCAAAATTTGTTATCGTGACAGGCCTACTATCAAACAAGTTCTCTAAATACACAGCATGAAGCTACAACATGGTGGTTTCCAAAGTGGTTTAAATTCACTATACCTGCAGAAAAAACACTTGCAACCCACGACTCATCCTCGGCTGCGCTTCACTATGGAATTTACAAAGAAGCTCAACTTTTGACTCGTCTATTCATAAGTTATTCACAAGCCTTAGTCATGGGGTCAGATAGTCCAGTATTATCCTTTTGCTAGAAGGACATCAGTTTCTTTCAACAAGACATTTATAATGTACAGGCAAACATTTAAGCAAATCAAACATTTTAAATAAAGTTTCCTTGAAAAGTATTAAAACCAAGATAATTGAATTATTACCTGCTTCACCGTTCTCTCCTGAACAATACAGCTATTCTCTATGGATATGACAGCACAGATGAAGACTATGGTTGACTCCTCCTTGAGAATCTTGTATAAATAAATATGTATAAAAATACGTATTTTACGTCTATTTTGTCTTAAAACAAAAAGCGTCTTGTTGAGCGGGACAAACCTGAAAGAGGAATTAGAGAATGTTCTTCCTTTTATAGCATTCTCGATGTTGCTCAATGCTGTGGAGGTTTTTGTTTCCCTAATCACATGTTTAAAATACAGCAAAATGTCAACTCATTTCCCAAGTAAGAACTGTGTTCCAGCAGTTTTGCAGGTAAAATATGACACAGCAGAATGACCTTACTGTTTTTAGTCAGATGTAACCGTATGACCTGTTTTTAGTCAGATGTAACCAATAAAGTATTTTCACAGCAGAACAGAGCCAAGACATGCAACAGGAGCAAACCATCACTATGAACTTCAAGCAAAAATCACCACCTTCATGATCAAAATAAACGAATGACGTTACCATTCACAGCAACTTTGCTCCTTGCTACTATTTAATGAAAATACTCTTTAAATTAGTCTAAAAAAATTAAAATAAAAATTTTTATTTTTGACATTGTTTTATCGAAGCACATGTTCCCACACTGTTGTCTGATGGAGTAGGGGTTTGAGAACTACTGTATATCAGGTTCAGATACTGTTCAAACTGTTAAGCGGAGGCCTGAGAAGCCTATAGTATTTAAAAAAAAAAAATGTTAGGCAATTAATGTTAAAAAATGTGCAAAACCCTGTAAGCTATTTTTGTGGGATTCACAAGTTTGGTCTGTGTACGTTTGTGACTCAATTTGAAGGACTGCAGGAAGCTCTGTGAAATACAGGGCAGATCAAATTAAAGGCCAAGCATTCCTTAAAGGAATTGGTATTGCTCTCTAGCTTTTAAGCTAGAGTTTAAGGCTGAGGTTATTTAAAGTTGACATTTTTAAAACTTTCTACACATTTTAATCAGACTTATAAATATATATTTATAAGATAGGATAGAACTTTACTGATCCTGCAGGACAATCTCATGTAATCCTGCAGGAGTTCATGCTCACGTGTTGTGAGTAGCTCTCAGCTATGACCACATCACATTTTAACTCATTATCTAATAAAGTGACAGAGTTTTAGCTATTTTTGTGTTAAATAATGTGCATTAGCTGGTGGCCTTCTTGGATTGAGGTATGATAATTAGTTTTTATTAAGCTCCATTACAAACCATGCAGCTCACCAGTTATTTTGCTAACAGAAAAACATGGCTGACTCCCAACAAATAATGCTAAATATTTAGGTAAAAAATAACGATTAGTGCTTACGAATAAGATGTTTATGTATTTTGCCTACAAGCACAGCTAATTTTATCACTTTCTTTTGTAAAATTGACTGAATTGTAGCCTTTTGTTGTGTTTTCTAAGGTCAGCTAATTGTAGCAGCCATTCTGAACTGAACTGGCTCCAAAAGCTAATCAACTGTAGGTGAACATCCCATAATACTTTGCTAAACGGTTTATTAAAATCTGCCCAGTGATTCATGAGATATTTTGCAAAAGTTAATTCAAGTTGTTCATATTAAAATTCAAAACACAGATTCTGAGCAATCAATTATTGCTCAAGAGTATACAGTAAGTAGATCAGTTTCAGCTACAACCACACCAAATTTTAGCTCCATGTTTGTGAAATTGACTGCGTTAGTCGTTTTTTCTCTAAGGTTGATTAGCTCTGGCAGCCATCTTGAATCAAGTTGACTCCAAACATTAATCAGTTGTAGATGTCAGCCCAACGATTATTTTCTGCAAGTTTCATCAAAATTTGCTCAGCAATTCATAAAATCTTTTGCTAACAGTACCAAAAAAAAAATAATATTTGCATACAGATGGGCAAAAACATTATCAAATAAAGAAGTTAAATTTATCAAGTCTTGATGCATTATACAGTGCATATGAATTATATTTTATTTCTGTATAATGTTTACTTTGGGGGAAGATATGCACCAGTTTAGCTGCAACCTGAGAAGGAAAAAACAAGTAAACACAACAAATGGATCTATATTTCTGTGGACGGAAACATCAGTATATCCCATTTTATTCACAGCTTTGCATTTGACATGACATTGCCAAGATGTGAGTAGGATTTTTTTTTTTTTTTAACACAATGAAAAATACAATTTCTGAACTTTGGCTATGCTTGAAGGCAAGACGAAGGCAGCTGTGGCTGAGTGGTTAGCACAGTCGTCCTCCAATAGGAGAGTTGGGGGTTCGATTCCACCAGTAGTCACATGCTGAAGTGTCCCTGGGTAAAACACTGAACCCCTCATTGCCTCTGATGTGTGTCCCATCGGTGTATGAATGTGATAAAGCTCTGATTAGTCTCTTTAGAATGATTTGCTCAGATTAGCTTTGGTAGAGTGCTGTATGAATGTGTGTGTGGAGGTCAATGAGGGCACAGATTGTGTTGTAAAGTGCTTTCAGTATCTTGATTAGATAAAGGCGCTATATAAGTATTCCATTTACATTTGAACCTTCCAGCACTGCCAGTCAAATTTGCCATCAAATAAACCTCCCATCCAAAACTATTTGAGACGAATAAAGCAACTATATCCCAAGTAAGTCAGTGTTGCAAGCTTTAATAAAATACTCACATGATGTATTGCACATTTTAATGAAGAACACGTGTTGTACATGAAATGTTTGCATTTCTGACTCGGAGAAAACAATCTTCCACTGTATTCCCCAAAAAGCTTAACAGCTGTAAACAAACAGACAGTGTTCAGATAAAGTTGACTCCTTGAAGGTATATTTAGGAATGTAAATAGTATTTTGCAAAGTTGTCATCAGTATTCATCTTTTATTTAAGCGTCTAATGCAAAAGTAACGGCAATGTAAATGTTTGTAAACTGCTGTTTGCACAAATCACTATTAATTGTTAAGCTGTTTTAAGAAGGCAGAAATCTGCTGTGGTGCTGACCTCAATGGGACTATCTGTTAGCTAAAACTCTCCTGAGAGAACTTATGCCTGCCTCCAAACTGATGACGTTTCGAGTGATTAATGCAGGTAAGATATTGATTACTTATAACTCCACAAAACCATTATTTTCAATGTGCAAAAGGAGAAAAAAATCATTACATTCTGGAAACTGACCTGAATGATGCTTGTCTTACTTTGGGCTGTTTATGAAGCTTGATGGGTCCATTTAGCTTAGCTGAGTGTAAAAAGGTTTCAGGCTTAAATAAAAAAAAGGTGTCACAACTGTTTCAGGTGCCTAAAAGGCTTTTATTATTTTAAAAGAGTACGGTCAAGCTGTTTCTATTTCTGTCTTTAAGCTAGCTCACATAGCTTAAAGCATGAAGGACTCCAGAATGAACTTCTTGAAGTCCAGGTTCAGGCTGATACCACCTCACTTCATCAGTCCCACCACGTGTTCCCAGTTGATCATACATGTTTCCCTCTGCCTTCAGATATTACGTGCTCAGGCACAGCACGGGTGTACCACTCCGACCACGAACCGTCATACACGGACACCTCCGGGTGTCCGCACTCGTGGGCAGCCAGAGCCACATGGCACGCAGTCACAGCAGAACCACACAGGACACACATGGGACGACTGGCGTCCACACCAGCCTGGACGAAGAGCTCCTGGAGTTTATCTTTTGGCAGGAAGTGACCCGAAGGAGACAGGAGGGAATGGAAGGGGATGTTGATGGAGCCGGGGATGTGGCCTGGCTCCGTGTCTGTCAATCAGAAAGGGAGAAAAAATAGGATAAAATAAAGTAATTTAAAAAAATCAGATAATAATAATAAAATAGGACCTAAATACAGAGTGAACAAATAGACAAAACTATACATAAAATAGCTCTGAATCACAGAATCTTTTGTTGTTGCTGCTCAGAATCAAGTTGGCATTTTTGAAGTTTTAGTTTCTAGCATTTTAACATCTTTGTGTACTGACTTTTGGAATCAGAAGTGACATTTTATGACATTTAAAAGCCAGTTTTGTTTAACCTTTGAGCAAAAACCTTGGTTCTCCTCGTTTTTCACCTAATAGCTTCTAAAACGTTTGCTTTTCTCTTTTTTTTTGTACAGTTTGTTCATCATTTTCTGAATAAAAAATGATGAAATCAGCCTAGCTGAATTATTTAAATTAGTCTATTTTATTAGTATTATAAATATATTTTGTTTATAATATGTAAAGATGATATGTGAGAGGAGGAGGCATTCAGAAGCTGATTTTGTTGTTTTACATAAGGATATTTTTATGTCTTGCCCTGGTCTTCATTAGATTTAAATCTTTAAAGCCTTTAAATCTCTCAGATTTACTGAAATCAAAGGCTCTGTAAATACAAAATACTCTGACTCGGTTGAAAAAAGGTTGAAGCAATAATTGAGTGAAAGCTGATTGATCCAGGTGCATGATGCCTTGGAGAAGTGGGTAAACATGAGATGGAAAGTGAACATTAACTTGGAACTGAGAACAGTGACCGCTTGGCTGCAGGAGGGAACGTGCTCAAGATCGAGGCTGATGAAGCAGGGTTTGGTTTTTTTACATCTTTTTTTTTTTAAATACTGTATGTAATTGCAACAACGGTCCAAAGAGGAAGAGACGCAAGCATTTACTAAGAAAACAGTACTGTGTACATAACAAGGGCTGACTATAATGGCAAACCATCAATACGCAGAGTTGATTTCCTAATTCTCTGTGCTCTTGAGTTTTAACAGTCAATACGATCAAAGTTTACTGCTGAAACTGCTTTCACAAACAAGGGCTCTAACAGAAAGTATTTCTCAGTGTGCGTCTGTAGGAGTTATAGTGTATGGAACTAGATTTGACATCCACGATCAGTATCTGTTGAGTTCAACACATCTAAGTGTGCAACAATGGTCAGTCAGATCATCTGGATGTTTCTTTACTTGCCGAGACGTTTCGTCCTTCATCCAAAGGACTTCTTCAGTCTGAGGAGCCACAAACAACCTGGAGTCCCACAAATACCACACTCATAGTGGGAAAAAAAAACAGTTTGCTGGTGATAAGATGGTTTCTGGGGCCCGCCCTCTCCCCCGTCAACTCCTCTGAGGCGGTCATGCCAAAATGGTTCAAAACACCAAAAGTTCATGCTCAATAATCCAGGTACAAATCCAACAATGTTTGTGAATAACATACAGTCTAAGACCACTCAGTTACTGTATGGTGTGCCTCAGGGTTCAGTCTTAGGTCCTATTCTGTTCCTTCTATACATCAGCCCCCTTGGAAAGATTATCAGTAGCTTCAGAAATGTGTCTTACCATTTCTATGCTGATGACATTCAACTGTACTGCTCCGAATCACACAAGTTAGCTGAATTAGTAAATTGTGTTTCCCATATTAAGGCGTGGTTAGCTAACAACTGCCTTCAGTGAAATTCTAACAAGACTGGAACCCTGATCATTGCTCCTGAACAGAAAGTTCCTTGGATCAAGCAACACCTCGGTTCTCTGGCCTCCTCTTCTCAGCCGAGCCTCAGAAACCTCGGTGTTCTGTTCGACCAGTCAGTGTCGCTGGAAAAACATCCAAAAGCTTCTGGTAAAAAACGGCTTTTATCATCTGAGAAACATTTCCAAATTGAGGGCAATGTTATCCAGATCTGACCTGGAGATGATTATTCATGTTTTAATCTCTTCTCATTTAGATTATTGTAATTCCCTTTTTACTTGTTTTAACAAATCTGCCGTCGCTCGCCTCCAGTTGGTCCAGAACTGTGAGGCTTTTAACAGGAACTAATAGAAGGTCTCTCACATTACACCTATCTTATCTTCATTGTCTGCCTGTTGAATTTAGAATTAATTTTAAAATTTTAGTCTGAACTTTTAGAGCTTTAAATAGACAGGCCCCCCAGTACATCACCGAAATGTTGATCCCTTATTCTCCAGCCCGCACACTTCGGTCTTCAGCGCCGAACCTCCTAAAGGTCCCTAAGACCCGGTTTAAAACTCGGGGTGACCTTTCCTTTCAGGCCATAGCCCCCCGGCTGTGGAATGTCCTGCCCCTCCTTTAAAAAGCACTTTTATTCAGACAAGCTTTTAGTTAAATGTTTTATTTACTGTTTTTATCAGCTGTTTTTACTGTTTTTATTAATCAGCTGTTGATATTGTTTTTGTTTTATTTTAAACCTGTAGTTTGTATTTCTGTAAAGCACTGTGTGATTGTATCTATGAAAAGTGCTATATAAATAAAGTTTACTTACTTACTTAGCAATGTTCAGTCAGGTCAAGTGGACGTCTAAGTGTTATCAAAGGCTAAATTGTGTACTGTTAATTTTAAAATGTGATACACTCCTGGTGTGTGTTGACGTGTGCGTGAGCCTGAGTCACTCACTGTTCATAAAATGTATTAAGTGAGTATTCATATTTTTCGGTCTATAAGGCGCATTAAGCAAAACCAAAACATTTTGACAGATTTTTGAGCATCGTGTACCACATAAAATTGGTTCGAGGTCAGTAAGCACAACCAGATTTAATACATGAGGCATACTTGATTATAAGGCTCACTGTTGACTTTTGAGAAAATTAAAGGACTTTAAGTGCACGTTATAGTCTGAATAATATGGTATGTGTGGCTGCTCTTATTAAACAAATCAGTGGTACACAGTTGACAATGGTCAACACAAACTCACTAAGTAAACTGTAACAACTTTAAGTCAGGTCCTCTGGACGGATTCTTTGTTGAAATGTTTTGTCTTTTGTTCAAAATACAAGGCGCTGCAACAACTGCAGTCTTATAAACAGCACCCTCTCATAGTGGATCAGCCAGTTTGCTGCGGACAGTCAGAACTAGCTATTCACATGTAAAGGGAGGACCGCATGTGAATGTGCCTGGGGTGGGGTTGAGGGCCTTGCTCAAGGGGGCAAATGAGGGTGGAGACAGGTGTGGTTGTTTCACCTTTCCCACCCACATTTTGATGTTGTCAGTCTGGGGAGTTGAACCGGTGACCTTCTGATCGCATGCTCGCTTCCTTTAACCTCTGCGCCACCACTCCCCCTAGATTAGAAAAGTGCTTTAAATAAATGTTGCTAATTTAAAAAAAAAATCACATTTCTTAAAATTTAGACACTTGTTTTACTCTTTTCTGAACTTGTGTAGTTTTTTTTGCTATGACTCTCTGAAATGTTACAGGTTACTGGAAATTATTTGTCCTTTATATTAAAAAAGAGACACAAGCAAGTGCTGATCCAGAGAACTTAGATTTTGTGGGATTTTTGTGAGAAAAAAAATGTAATCTATTAATAAAAAGTAAAAAAGAATACAAATGAAAAGTAGTTTAGGTTTTTAGTTTGCAAATGTACATTAAGAACATCACCTGTAAACATAAGTTATATGATGTACATCTAAATATTCACAGCTGAGACAGTGCCTTTTACCACCATAACCCTCAGCACTGGCTCTCATCAGGGATGTGTGTTGAGCCCTCTCCTATTCACTCTGCTCACGATTAATTGTGCAGCTACCCATCCAGGCTGTCATATTGTAAAGTTTGCAGATGACACAGCGGTGGTGGGATGCATCACAAACAATGAAGAGTCCAGCTACAGGCAGGAGATGGAACACCTGGAGAGCTGGTGCAAAGAGAATAACCTTCACATTAATGTGAAGAAGACAAAGGAGATGATTATGGACTTCAGAAGGAACAAACACACCTACACCCCCCTGAACATAAGAGGATCTGCGGTGGAAGTGGTCTCCAGATACAAGTACTTGGGTGTACACATGAATGCCAAACTCATCTGGGGCAATAACACCACCAGCCTGATCAAGAAAGCTCATCAGAGACTCTACTTCCTCAGGCGGCTGAGGCGAGCTGGTCTGGGAAGCTCAGTCCTCACCTCCTTCTACAGGTGTGCAGTGGAGAGCATCCTGTGCTCCAGCATCAACGTGTGGCATGGAGGCTGCACAGCTGCACAAAGAAAAGCTTTGCAGAGAGTGGTGAAGGCTGCACAGAAGACTATTGGAGTCAGTCTCCCCACCATCACAGACATTTACACCTCCAGATGTAGGAAGAGAGCCACCTGCATCATGAAGGACCCCACTCACCCAGCACAAACACTTTTTTGCCCCGCTCCCCTCAAGCAGGAGGTTGAGGAGCATTAAGTGTAGAACCACTAGACTGAGGAACAGCTTCTACCCTGAGGCTGTTAGACACATAAATCTCTAACCAGAATAATCACTATGAAAAAAATCACATCATGTTGCTGCTGATCTGTTTCATGCCTCACAGTTCTAGGAACGCTTCTTAAGCGAAGAAGTGACAGGGGGCTTCTCTGTAGCAGGACCAAGACTTTGGAACGAGTTACCTCTGCTTGTCAGACAGGCCCCCTCCCTCTCGGTTTTCAAATCCCGTTTAAAAACACATTACTATTCAGTAGCTTTCAACACCAGATGATCTGTGTTTTGAACCTGTTTGCTTCACACAGGTTAGTTGTCATATTTATTATCTGCATCGTTTTTATGTCTATATTCTGGTTTACTTCATTTTGTATTTTGCTTTGTGTGTTACCTGTTGTTCTGTCTGTACAGCACTTTGGTTGGCCTTGTCGCTGTTTTAAATGCTCTATAAATAAAATGGTATGGTATGGTATGTTGATGTGTTCATGTGTGCTCATCTGCTCACACAGACTCATGCTCATGTTTGTGCTGCCGTTTGACGTAATGTTTTTATGCTATTAGTGCTTAGTGTATATTTAGTTGATGTTTTTCTTAGGTCATATCTTAAATGTTATCACTGTTTTTCTTTTACATTGTATTGTTGGATGTAACTGGGACCCTGTGTATAATTTCATTCCACCACATGTGGTACATGTGGTGGAACGACAATAAAGAATCTCTGACTCTCTGAATTTTATTCCCTTTATATTAGATACTTGGGTACGACGGAGCTTTGGGGCAACGCTAAGAAAAAAAAATTACACTAGAAACAAGAATAAAGTCATAGTATTACGAGAATAAAGTCGTACGACAATAAAGTTCTACTATTACGAGAATAAATTTGTAGTATTACGAGAATAAAGTTGAAGTTATATGAAAATAAAGTCCTAGTATTACAAAAATAAAGTAGAAGCAATATGAGAATAAAGTCAGAGTCAGAGTCAGAGTTTCTTTATTGTCATTCGCACCTCATGTGGTACATGTGGTGGAGCGAAATTATGTACACGGGGTCCCAGTTACATCCAACAATAAAATGTCTAAGAAAAACAGTAATAACATCTAAGATATGAACTAAGAAAAACATCAACTAAATATACACTAAGCACTCATAACATAAAACATTGAACATCAGCACAAACATGAACATGAGTCTGTGAGCGGATGTGCACGCATGAACACATCAACATTGAAACAGATCAGCAGCAACATGAAACAGATCAGCAGCAACATGATATGGTTTTTCACAGTGATTATTCTAGTTAGAGATTCATGAGTCTAACAGCCTCAGGGTAGAAGCTGTTCCTCAGTCTAGTGGTTCTACACTTAATGCTCCTTAACCTCCTTCCTGAGGGGAGTGGGGCAAAAAGTGTGTGTGCTGGGTGGGTGGGATCCTTCATGATGCAGGTGGCCCTCTTCCTGCATCTGGAGGTGTAGATGTCTGTGATGGTGGGGAGGCTGATTCCAACAGATTTCTGTGCAGCCTTCACCACTCTCTGCAAAGCTTTTCTTTCTGCAGCTGTGCAGCCTCCATGCCACACATTGATGCTCGAGCACAGGATACTCTCCACTGCACACCTGTAGAAGGAGGTGAGGACTGAGCTTCCCAGACCAGCTCGTCTCAGCCGTCTGAGGAAGTAGAGTCTCTGATGAGCTTTCTTGATCAGGCTGGTGGTGTTGTTGCTCCAGCTGAGGTTGTCATTCATGTGTACACCCAAGTACTTGTAGCTGGAGACCACTTCCACCGCAGATCCTCTTATGTTCAGGGGGGTGTAGGTGTTTTTGTTCCTTCTGAAGTCCACAATCATCTCCTTTGTCTTCTTCACATTGATGTGAAGGTTATTCTCTCTGCACCAGCTCTCCAGGTGTTCCACCTCTTGCCTGTAGCTGGACTCATCATTGTTTGTGATGCATCCCACCACCGCTGTATCATCTGCAAACTTTACAATCTGACAGCCTGGATGGGTAGCTGCACAATCATATGTGAGCAGAGTAAACAGGAGGGGGCTCAACACACATCCCTGAGGAGAGCCAGTGCTGAGGGTTATGGTGGAGGAGGAGAGGTTGTGGATCCTCACTAACTGTGGTCTGTTTGTTAAAAAGTCTAGTACCCAGTTGCAGATAAAGTGATAATATTATGAGAATAAACTTGTAATATTACCAGAATAAAGTTGTAATAATATCAGAATTCCAACACGCAAAAGCAGTCTTACAACTGCGGTAAAATAATGAACATTTACGTCGTAAGTACAATAGCAGGGGTCCAACGCACCGTGGCATCTTATGATAAACTGAAGATATATGGCATTGCAATTAATGTTTGTGTTGACGGATTTAGTCGTCACATAATGTGGATGGAGGCATATTTCACAAACAGTGACCCAAAAGTGATCGCGGACTACTTCATAAACACAGTGCCTCGAATTGGAGGCTGTCCACAGCAAATGTGAGCTGACCCATGATGTATTATGACTTTTATTTTCGTAATATTACAAATTTATTCTCGCAATATTTCAAGTTTGTTCTCGTACAACTTTATTCTCTTAATTTTATGACTTATTTCTCGTAATTTCTTTTTCTTAGCGTGGCCCTAATACTCCGTCATACTTGAGAATGTCACACTGACTCAGCAAAAACTGTTTACCAGAAATCCAGCAGAAGCTGTTTGACAAGTTGTGGCCTAACAAGCTTAGTCAGTAATACGTTTTCCTCTTGCCACAATTCTTCAGAAATGCTTTGAATCAAATGGAGACGAGTCAAACCTTGAATTGCATCAGTCATTCTGTAACCTTAAAATAAAAGCAGGCCTCGTCTTTTCAGTCATCTCCATCACAGAACTGGTCAAAAAAGGCCTTTATGACACTGATTCGGTGCAGGTGCTTAGCAGTAAAGAAAATGAGCAAATGTCTGCTAAAACAGAAGAAATTTTAATTAAATCTATTTCATAATACTGCGAAAAATATCTAGTTTAAACCCACAAAATGGGATCTGTACTAGGCCTGTCGCAATAAACAATAAATCAATTAATCGCACGATAAATTAAAATTATCAACCTCATTTTTGCTATCTGGTGGTCAAAAAAGGTACTACACATAAAATTAACCAACATTTCTTCTTAACTTTGACAATAATTACTAATTATTGTCAAATTTCAAACAATACTATCGTTTATCGCAATAATTTCTGAGACAATTAATCGCCCAGCAAAATTTGGTATCGTGACAGGCCTAATCTGCACTTCGAAATCTTTTTACAAACATGCACTTAAAATGCACAGAGAGGATTAAATCATTTAGCTTGTCTAAAACAAAATAAAGAAAGAAAATCTCTATTAAGTTATACTTCGATTTTCAAACTCCAGACCTACACTTTTTCTATTTGGAATATAAATGCACAAAATGTTGTCTTTTTTGTTTTTTATTCAAACGCATGCTGTTCTTGTGACTGCAGATTTTATTTTTTATCTAAACTACAAATAACTTAAATTATCCAGCACTATAAAAGGGCTAAAACATTATTGCAGCTTTCAGCCTCTATAAAAATATTAATTATGTGTGTAAACAAAGAGTCTCCTTTTTCAGTTTTATTTCTGTTTCAGACTACTCACTGTCTCTTGGTTCGGGGTCCAGGCCTCTGAACCTGCCTGGGGGTCTTGCATCCACCACCTGGAACGCCTTGGTGTCCAAGTTATCCAGGATGTCCTCGTAGGTTTTCACCCAGGAGCGGTTCAGGGTGGCCCTATACTCGGTCGGAGCGTGTCTCTTATACTGGTTACTCACCGGCCGACCCTCCAGTTCCCAGTTCCTGAACCCCCCGTTGAGCAGAGACACCGCGCTGTGCCCGAACACCCGGAACATCCACCAGACGCGCGGCGCAGCGAACTCTCCAAACTCGCTGCAGTCGTACACCACGACGTGCGTGTCGTTCTCTACCCCCAAATTCCCCACATAATCCGCGAAAAACTTCTCTGACGGCAGCATGTGGTCCAGGGGAGAGGTTTTATCACAACACTGGTCTATGTCAAAGAAGGCTGCACCCGGGATGTGCTTCTTCTTGAACTCGCTTTTGGCGTTTCTTCGCAGTTTGGGCAAATACCAAGAAGCGTCCAAGATGCGCATTTTCCCCTGGACCTTCACGGCCTCCGCGAGCCATTTAGAGGTGAGCAAAGCGCGAGCTTGAAGCGCCATGCTGGGTTACTGGAGAGACAGTGAGGTTAGAAAGTCTGTCGACCTTATCCTGTGCCAAAGGTTGGAAAAAAAAAGACAGAGGGAGCAAAGTGCGAGCGGAGAAACGGGGAGTGCGTCACGTTCCGTTTGACAACTGCTGGAACGCGCAAAACTTTGTGTTCTCTCATGAATAAACAAGCAAAGCAGAATTGTTTAGGTCAAATATTAATAAAACACATGCAATATCGGTTCTACTGAAGGATGTGATTAATAAACTTTGTAAAATACGTTGTTTATCAAAATGGCATCTTAAAATTAGTTAATGTATTTACCTCAATTATTATTATTATTATTATTATTATTATTATTGTTCTTGTTGTTGTTGCTGTTTTTCTTATATAGTAGTAGTATGGTAGGAACTATGTACATTCTTATCTGGTATCCAGCGAACTCCTTCGGTCGGTGCACAACCGGATGCTGCTGTATTCACACGCTCCTTTTCATTTTTTCAAGTAGAGTGCTTTAAGTGTAAACTAAGGGATAAAAGTGAATTTATAATTTCAAGTATGTCGTTTTCTTTAGTCAGAAGAGGACTGGAGCTGCTGAGCAATGACGTTAAAGGTCAGTTTTTAACAGTTTTGTTCTTCAGTGACGCTTGAAGCTATCATTGTCGGAGATTGAAGCTAGCTCAAAATGCTATTGACTTAATTTAAACTCCATCCATCCATTAACTTTACCCGCTTCTTCCTTTTCGAGTCGTGCATATTTAATTACTATTATCTTTAAATGGAAATAAACGAGTAACAGTTGTTAAGGACAGCAGAACTTATATTTTTGGGCACTTGGATCCTACTAAAAAAAAGCAGATTTTAAATTGTGGTGTGAAACTTTATTAAATCGGTATTATTAAATGTAACTGTAGTTTAGAGTGTTTTGTAAAATATGAAGTAAATTTATTTGGAGAAATGTCATGACTAGTTTGCTGCTTAATCTGAAGATTTAAAATAAATGGAAACTTTTCTCATGACAAAGCCTCTCAAATCTTAAATCAAAAGAGAACACTGCTATGCAAGCTGATATAATACATGAACAATGATTAAAAAATACAAACTCCAATTATCATAATAAATGCATTCATGGTAGGGCACTCTTAACGAGTTAAATTTGGATCAGGCTCCGGTAAAGATGTTTTCTGTCTGAATGTTTTTGTCATCTGTATGTCCTAGTCTGTTGTATAACTAAAACACTTTTTCTCTTCTTGTGTGCACGATTCTAGATAGCAATAAAGTGAAGAAGAAGAAGGCTCAGACACCCAGCTCGGCCACAGTGATGGATCTGGTGAGCACCAAGAAGCAGGGGGTCACCAGGCAGGTCAAGAGGCTGCAGGGTCGCCTCGGTCACGGAAAGAGCAAAGCCACAGTCAAAGACAAGAGGATCAAATCTGCAGTAGGTAAAGTCACATTTTTCATATTGACCATACCTGTCTAAAATCATCATTAGATCTAATACAACATGTAGCTGTTTAGTCAAGTCAGATTTATTTATAGAGCACATTTAAAACAGAAACTGTTACCAAAGTGCTTAACAAAAATATCACATCATCAAATAAAAAGTAGCAAGATATATTTACAGCACATGGAATACAAATATAAAACCAAAAACAATTAGAAACAATGAAATACTAAATCTGATCTGATGACCTTGTGTTAAATAGGAATAATAACAAAAGCATAAACAGAATCAGCATCAATGAAAAACTAGATCTAAATCCAATCACCCTGTGTTAAATGTCAATGAGTATAAATGTGTTTTTAGGAGAGATTTAAAAGCAGAGACTGAGGTGGCCTGTCGAATGTTGATGGGCAGATTGTTCCAAAGTTTAAGGCCCACGACTGAAAATGCTCGATCTCCTCTGAGCTTCAGCCTGGTTTTTGGTACGGCCAAAAGCAGCTGGTCTGATGATCTCAAAGCCCGAGAAGGAGTATAAGGATGAAGAAGGTCGGAGAGATATGATGGTGCAAGGCCGTTAATGCACTTGAATGTTTAGGAAGATCTAAACTGGAAAGTGTAAAGAGGAAAAACAGAAACCACAAAAGCTACTGCTTGTTTGTACAACCCAAGCAAGGATAACAATCTGCATTGTAGTTTGAGTAGTTTTATGTCAGCAACTCGCTTAAAAACATTGTTTTCAACATATCCAACAAGATGGAGCTAACTTTGTCAGAGCTAATTATAAAGAACCAGATTTAATTAGTAGTAACAGTCAGAAACATGTTTAGTTAGTTATTTACTTAGTTAGTTAGTTGTTAAAAAGGTTGTGTTTACACAACCATGCTGGAGATCCTGTGGACACGTGGATGTAGATCATGTACACATATTTTACTTTATTTTGTATTTTGCTTTGTGTGTTACCTGTTGTTCTGTCTGTACAGCACTTTGGTTGGCCTTGTCGCTGTTTTAAGTGCTCTATAAATAAAATGGTATGGTATATTTTAGATTTGTCAAAAATAAAAGGATATTGGGATAATATATGGCTTAGCTTGAGAAAAAATACTAGGATATGAGGGACTGAAAACATGTAAAACACTGTATTTGTGAAACGTTACAACATAACAACAAAAAGAGGACGAATACCTGATTAAGATATTGTTAACAGCAAGTTAAAAAGCCATCACAAGAATGTGGCATAAAGTGAATCCACTGACCGTGGAGCGGTGGCTGTGCACTGTGGAAGAGATATTTGCAATGGAAAAACTCATAAATTAAGACTGCAAGAGGTGCAATTTAATGAAAAATGGACTTATTATAGAAAGAATACACCACCTTCACAACGGGATAATGAAAACCCTGGAAAATGAATCATTGTTTAATAATGTATATACATTATGCTTCTACATTGCAACTGTTCTAAGAAATTTTCAATAAAAAAAACAAGTTAAAAATAAAGGTTGTGTTAGTGTCCCATATTATTTGTTGCAGTTTTGTTAAACCGATGACAGAAAATGAAAATGCATCTCTAAAAACAAGTCTTTAGTTTATTATCCACAACACTGAATCTGTGATATTTATGCTGATTAGAAAATGACATTATGTAAAGATAGCTGAAGCTTGATGGTACTTGTTTTAAATTTTCATAAAACATGTAAATCGTTTTTGTTGTAAAATTATGCTTTTCATTTTGTGTTTTTGCAGAAGAGTTCAGAAAGAATCAGCCCAAGAATCAGATGAGCACCAACATGAAATACTTTCTGGAATCTAGTAGCTTCAGAGCAACAGATTCTGATACACTGAAGGTAATGAAGGTTTACCTCTGACCATAAATCAGTACTTGGTTCCTTAATTTTACCATATATTACAGTTACATACATTTAATATATGCAATTATATTACCATATGATCGCATTTCTTTTTATTCAAGATCTAGTGCATACAAGTTGTATTTAAAATAACATTGTTGTAATGTGAACGTTTAAAATCAACCATCAGTATCTAAACCCGAACCAATCAGATCCAACATAAACATGGCCTGTGTTTTTATAGCTAATCTGTTGATTTGGTTTGTGTCTGTCTTAGATCATGAAGCACAACATAGGAAGGCAGTCAAGAAATCGCCCAGACAAACCTGTCAAAAAGCCCAAAGAAAAGCCGTCTTTGTTTACAGAGGAGGAGTTTCAGCAGTTCCAGAAAGAATACTTTGGCGGGATTGTTGAGAAGAAATAACTCCCACCATGAAAAGAGACACTGCAGTTACAGTGGAAACAGAAGGTGCTGTGTTCTATGGATTAATGTGGATTTTTTGAATCGGACTATGTCCTGGAGTCCATTCCCACTTCGCAGCAGTGCACAGTCATTCCGTTGCACATCTGAAATACATGCTGTATTGTTACAGTGTTGAAATGTACCACTTCATGAGCTGGAGTTTCAAAAAATTTACTGAAGAAGACTTGGATATGTGCAGAGACACAAGATTTGTAACTAAATGCGTGAGAGAATAACAGAATATGCAACTAACAAAGCAGTCACTCTTGTCTTTTTTGTTCAGTTGTCATTTTAAAAAATATATAGTATATGAAAAAAAAAGATTTTTCTTTATGCTTCCTAAGTTGAGTTCTCTTTGTGTCAAAAATGTGCTGATATGGGGTTGAAAATTTGGATTTCCCTCAAGATTTTAAATTACAGAAACACGGCACAGTTGGTAGAGTTGCCACCTCCCAGTGAGAAGGTTGATCGAATCCCATCCAGCATTTCTGGGTGGAGTTGGCATGATCCCTAACGTGTGGATTTTCTCCAGTTTCCTCCCACATACCAAAATCATGCATGCTAGGCTGACTGGTAAGTCTAAATTGTCCCTAGGTGTGAGTGAGAAAGTGAGTGGTTTGTCTCTATGTGTCCCTGTGATGGATTCTTGACCTGTCCAGGGCGTCCCCCTGCCTCTCACACAGTGACTGCTGGATATGGGCACTAGTGACCCAGAAAGGAAGAAGCGGGTAAAGATTATGGATAGTTGGGAGAGATGGATGGATGTATAAATGCCTATTTTCAATTAACTTGTGCAAGCATGGTTAAACTTTGAGGCCAGTTGCATAATAGCAGGATCTAACTGGAAAGTTTCTGGAGAAACTGACGGGGACTGCTACATTGTGACCATTTTAAAATTTTGATTTGACAGTAATGTGTGTTGGGCTTCACTCTCGGCTACCACTTTACCAAATTTCAGTGCAATGTGGCAAAAAAAAATGAGTTAGTCTGTTTTTCCTTTTAAGTTATGATGGCTGTTATTTTTTTTATTTTTTTTAATTATTATTTGCATTAGGAATGTCTAACAACTCTCTCAGCTACAACCATACTAAATTTCAGCTCAATATCTCAAAGAATGACTAAGTTATAGTCAATTTTAAGTTTTCTGAGGTAGCTGTGGCAGCCATCTTGAATCAAAATGGCTCCTAAAGTTAATCAGTGTTTTGTTCAGAGACCTCGCCACTATAGGTCATGTGACCTCACTGTGGCAGTTACAAGCTGTTTAGAGTTGTGTCTGTGTTTTTCAATGAGAAAAATGGTGTGTTCGTTTGCAAATTACATTGAAATGCCAATGAAAGTAATAACGCACGTCATGGCCGAGCCGGTCGTTTGGATATAACATTTGTGGGGGTACGCGTTGCGGTTTGGGCCACATTAAAGTTCATAGAAGAGCAAGACCCTCTTCAAGTGGATAGGTGGCTGCCTTTATGCAGCCCCCAACAACGTCAAGTCACGTCCTCTGGACTGATTCTTGTTGAAACGTTTCATCTTTTGTCCAAAAGACTTCTTTAGTCTGAGGAGCTGCAGTAAACTCAGTCTTATAAAAGTTGATCAACCAGTTTGCTGTTGAGCAGGGAGACTGTCTCTTTCCACAGCCAGCTCTTCTGGGAGCAATCCAGAACAACAAACTGGTTGATCCACTATGAGAAGGTGCTACACAGTTTAGTGCAGCTTCTCAGACCGACAAAGTCTTTTGGATAAATGAAACGTTTCAACAAGAATCCATCCAGATGTTCTTACTTTGTTACGGTTTTCTTCCTGGATTATCGAGCGTGCATCAGGATACCGGTAATAGCAGGATGTTGCTTCTCCCCACACCTTTGTGAGTATAAGTGATGGTGTGCAGACACGTTAAATTTAACCAGTTCATCCACCTCCTTCTCGTTTCACCTGCTAAGATTTGTGGATAAATATCTTCAAGTTCAAGTCAAGTCAAGTCATATTTATTTATAGAGCACAATTTAAAACAGATAGACTGTTATCAAAGTGCTTAACACTAAGGGTAACACTGAGAAATAAAAAGCAGTAAGAATATACCTTAAAAAATTAAAACAACAGCATTAAAATAAAGACATGGAACAAGATATACTAAATCAACTCACACAGTATGAAACGCCAGAGAGAACAGATATGTTTTTAGCAGGGATTTGAACACAGGAAGGGAGGTGGCATGCCTAATGTTGGGGGGTAGGTTGTTCCACAGTTTGGGACCCATGACTGAAAACGCCCGATCTCCTCGGAGCTTCAGTCGTGTTTTTGGAACAACTAAAAGCAGCTGATCGGATGATCTCAGAGCCCGAGAGGGAGCATATGGTTCCAGTAGCTCAGAGAGGTAGATGGGTGCGAGGCCATTTAGGCACTTATAGGTCAGGAGGAGAATTTTGAAATCAATCCTAGTTCTCACAGGAAGCCAGTGCAGGGAGGACAGAACTGGTGTGATGTGCTCATACCTCGGTGTACCGGTTAAGAGCCGAGCTGCAGCATTCTGGACGAGCTGTAGCCGTGAGATAGAGGCCTGGCTGACCCCAGCATACAGTGAATTACAATAGTCCAGGCGGGTTGTGATGAATGCATGGACTAGTGTCTCAAGGTCGGGTCTACACAGCACTGGCTTGAGCTTAGCTACCTGCCGCAGTTGGAAGAAGCTTCTCTGCAGAACCGAACTGATCTGTTTGTCGAACTTAAAATCCGAGTCAAAAACCACTCCAAGGTTTTTAACAGAGTGCTTCAGATAAGGCTGAAGGGAGTCCAGGTTCACAGGATAAGAGGCGGCAGCTGAGCTAGGGCTAAAGACAATGACTTCAGTCTTCTGGTCGTTAAAACTTAGAAAATTTGAAGCCATCCATGTCTTAATGTCGTCCAGACATTTGAGGAGAGGGTGGACTGAACAAGCACTGGCTGGTTTCAGTGGCAGGTAGATCTGACAGTCATCGGCGTAGCAATGGAATGGAATACCGTGTTTTCTTAGGATCTGTAATGTTTCGTATTAGTCTTAATAAAGATAATCGACACGCTTCATGAGCCCGGGTCTGTTTATTGAATGCCCGTAACATGTACACCGAATCCTTACGTCACTTCCTGTCTACTGTATGGCAAGCCCATGAGGACAATAATTATGACGGTTTACAATACAACATTGTAAATACAACATCTCCCTTTTTTTAATTTTTTTTTCTTTTGAATGCCACATGTCCTCATTGAACTGGTACACATATTGATTATATTGTCACATGAAAATTATGCTGCAGTAAACAACATGTCAGACTTGTAAACATCATTTTACATTCACATTGCACATATTTTCATGTAAACA